TGTACAATGAAAGCTTGTTTTAATTGACTAATTGGGATAAGTGGGTATGGTATTCACAGATCTTGATAAAACAAACACTGTCATTGCTCAATTTATTTCATTTGTGCGATATTATACAAATGTTATAAATTATACAAATAGAACTGACACAAAAATTATACAAATTATATCATCACATGAATTATGTAAAATGTTACAAAAGGGCGGCCTGTTACCTATGGAATTTACTGCATTGTGATCTGCTAGGTTCATATTTCACTGTAAAGATTGGAAAATACTCTTCTCTCTGTAAGAGGCGCAGTGGAATTCTGCTATTGCCAGGAAGATTAGTGACCATATCAGGATGATAGGTATTCACTAACACAGGGGTCCCCAACCCTCGATCGATGGATGGGCACAAATCAGTGGCATGCCAGCAACTGGGCTGCACAAACAAGCAAAGCCCCATTCATGGGATGCAGCAGCACACAAACCATGCCCCTTCCAGTCCATGGAAAAACTTCTCCATGAAACCGGTCCCTGGTGCTCAAAAGGTTGGGGGGCACTGTTCTAATAGATTAAAGCTATCACTCTGCACCCGAATAGCCTAACTTTAGTGTGGGAGACTACATTTACACTATTATTATTAGTAAAATTAGTAACTTTCTGTTGCTAAGGAATCAAAAACTTTTTTAACAATACAGTTCAGCCAAGATAATTTACAGAATGCAAAGGGAAGACTTTTAAATCAACTTCTACGCATCATAACCACATAAGTGAGTAGCTTGCCATTGCTTTCTTTTTATATTTTTTTCCCCAACTTGCCAATCTAGACTACAATTCTGCTATATTCCGAAAAGTATCTGACCCTATTCAGGTCATGCAATATACTGAGCTACAAATAAGGTATAAACAAATGTGTATAACAAATTCAACTGTGTATAAACAAATTCAACTGTGAATTCAGCCACTGTAGTTTGTAGACTCTGATGGAGCTTGGTGCCTTGGGTAAACAGGCAGTTGAAACTTAGTAGCTTGTGGTTAAAGAAACAAATCTTATGTTGAAGTGTAAACCTAGTCACTACTTTCATTTCTGATAGTAGCGAAGGGAGATCAAATATTTGCAGCAGTGTGCTTGGAAATGTGGGTTTCCACCCAACAACAGTGACTATGGAATGTTTCACTCTTAATTTTATCTCCAGTGCAACTGCCCTTGTTGGCCACTTGTGGCTGGAGTCTTGAGGCAAGGTATCCTGAGGAAACACAATCTTCTTTTTCCTTCAGAAGACAGAGTATTTAGATACCGTGCTCCCTTTTTGTGCAAAATGACCCATTTTTCTCACCATATTGGTCTTGGAGATATTATACTGCAGGCAATAACAATTCCTTTCTGAGACAGATTGCAAGTAAGGAAGTGGGGACATAAAACTTATCTGAACCAAAAAGCAGCAAAAGAAAGATAAAACATCCTTCCACATTAACTATGATTTTGATCTAGTTCACCATCTTCCCTGTTGCAGTTATCTTTGCCTAACCAAACAGTCATTTTAAATACTAAACATTTAACATGCCATATAGTTTCTCTGACATTGGGGGGGGGGGGGATTTCCTCTGTGCCTTATTGGTGACTAATGTGATTCCTTCCCAGAGATTTATATATTAGTTAGTTGCAGTGATGGAGTTTATTCTGTATTGCAGTAATTAGGGCTGAGTATGGAGAAGTGTTGACTGATTAGATTTATTAGAAATGCCTCTTTTCCTATTTAGACTTTAAAGTTACAGCAGTGCAAAAGCAAAGCTTTCTGACAGAAAATCTGGTACTCAGAATAATTTTGGTTTTCTTGGCCATAGATTTGACAAGAGCTATTTTCACTTCCTCTATCAGCAAAATTATACCGATGCAGAACTTGAGTTTCTGCCAGATTTGTTAGCACATGACAATATTAAACCCTAAAGGCCCTAAAGAAGTGCTCATGGAACCATAAAAATATTTTTGAACCCAACTTGATACTCCTCACAGAGATTAAATATTTCATTCTCTGATAAGAGAACTAGTTGATTTCTCCAGATAAACTAGAATTAGATAAGCAAACTTTGTCAGATTACTGATTCTTTCACAGAAAAAGATGTAACTGTTTCACATTCCTATGCATAATCATTGACGAAGAAAAAACACTGAATAAATAGCAACCCCTTTTGTATTTTGCATCTCCCACTGTTATTCTGGAACATTACCAAAAGGGGAAAAAATTGTAAAGACAAAGCAACAATTTTCAAAAGGTCTGTTGCTGTTTATAGAAAATGTAACCTTAGCAACCAAGAACAATTTCAAAAGGTTTTACCATAAGGTCTGTCTGGGACAGGGTTCCCATACCTGGATCGCAAAACTCCAAATCACCGCTAAATGTAGCAAAGATACAGCAACTCTGAATTACAATCTAGTCATTATCTGGATTTTTGCAGCACAGATTTGGGGACCTTAATATTGGGGAAAGGGTGAGTGATCAGACCTTTAATTCTCACATTGCAGAAATCTGGCAGATTCACTATCCAATTTAGAAGGCTAATGTGGAAATTCATCAGTACTACATATTTAATTTCCGAACTCTGATATCCATGCCTAAAGACTTATGAAATCAGATCACAACAAATCATCATAGTAATAAAATATTGGCTCATCTAACAAGCATATCAAACTGCATCCATGAATACAAAGGTATAGAACTGTGCTGAAGTTAATTCATTAACCCAATTACATTTCTTTTGAATACACCGACAATGATTTTGAAACTGGAAAGCTGACTTGGAAATACAATGTGTATATACTTATTGCACCCCAAATATTTGTTTACTCAAAAACAAGATCCATGCAAATTGTAATTTCATTGTCCCTGAAGAATCTGTAGTTAATTAAGTGAACATGTCCAAGCATGTCTCCATGAAAGGAAATGCTTCTGCAGTTATGATGGTTATGTTCAGGGTTCTTGGGAATTTTTGGTCCCAAGAACCAAGTCACTGGTAATATCTTTCTTCAATAAAAATGTTCACACTTTGTATATCTGGTACCATATGTGGAAACAGCATTCTTTTTACTCAGATTTGAATATATTTATGTCTTATACATAGTACAAACATCAGTCACTGGGCACATAAAGAACTGTATTTTTGTGTATCTATGCTAAAAGCCTTACTTGAACAAGCTCAAAGCATTCATAAAGTGACAGGGATTAAGGCTGCAGTCTTGTATGCACTAAACTGAGATTAAATGCCTGTTAAATTAAAAGATGTAGGTTTTCTCCATAAATCTGCTGCAATATAAAGTTTATTTATTGGCAGTACGTTCCACTGAACAAGATAGATAGAATTCTTTATTGGCCATGTGTGATTGGACACAAGGAGTTTGTCTTTGTGCATATGCTCTCAGTGTACATTCGTCAAGAGTCAAGAATCATAAGGTACAACACTTAATAGTCATATGGTACAATAAGCAATCAAATTATACTAGGAAACAATCAATAAAATAGGTCAACCACCCTCTTGTCTATAACAGCCCCTCAAGTAGTGGAAGTAGTGGAATTTTTGCAGGGCCGGTGCATTGTGCAACAAGGTCACATAGTGTAATAAAATTGGGGCTGGGTTAGGGACTTCTGCCCTCAGTGTGAGTTGTATTTGGGGGGCGGGAGGCTTAGCCAATATCATGTTGTACTCTGGCAATAAAGGTAATAATAATAAGACTGCTATAATGTCACCTTTAGTTCTCCTCTTCATTAGACTAGATGTAGCTAGTTCCCTCAACAGTTCATCTTTGCTTGGGGGGGGGGGGGGGGGGGACCCCCCCTCTCACTTCACTTGCATTTTTCATTTATTATTGGATTATTAATCCAATAATATCCTTACAAAGCCAATATGCATTTCCTCTGCATTCTCCCAGTTTGATAACTATAAGCAGAGATTTGCAACAAAACAAATCAAAACCACTGTCTTTCCTATTTCTTTTGTAAGCAAGAATATTTTTCTGTTTTACATCTTCTTATACAGTATATGCCCAAATCAAATCATACTAAGGAAACAGTCAATAAATATAGCTGTTGCTTGTATCCTAACAATTCTCCAAAACACCTGAAGGCAGGACAAAAAGTAACAGGTGGAAGATCATTAAAGAAAGAACCAACCTAGAACTAAGGAGAAATTTCCAGTGAGAACATTCAGAGGACAAGCTTGCCTTCAGAATGTCCCAAAGGTGCTTTTTCAAGAGGCAACTGGACTTTCTGGTTTTTCTTTGAAGACATTTCACTTTTCATCCAAGAAGCTTTTTCAGTTCTGATTGGATGATGAGGAATTAAAGGGTTTATGCTCCTTGCAGACAACTGATAATTTGTATTCTTTTAGCGAGTTGTTAAGGCGACTTGGAGGTCAGGTCACCTGAGTAGACACTTGCTGGTGCTCCAACCCTGGAGGTTTTCAAGAAGAGATAGTCTAAAATAGTATAAGGTCTCCTGCTCAACCAGGTGATTAGACTAGAAGACCTCCAAGCTCTCTTTGAACCCTGTTACTCTATATTCTGTGGTCTTGCTTGCAGCTTATATAACACTTGGTTGTAATTTTATTAAAGGCTAAAGAAAAACTGGTTGAAACATTCAGGTCAAACATTAGATGGCAGCACAGCGATTCCGAAACCGGTCGTGCTGCAGTTTAATAGTTGTCCAGATTTGTGCGCTCGTTATCCACTCGGCCTTTGAATCTTTGAGCTTTTGTATCTCGTTACCAAGTCATTCTCATGAGAAGCGCCTGAAGCCACCTTCATAGAGCGTCTCCGAAGCAACAGGGGAAAGAAGGCGGGTAAGAGCCGGCTTGGGCGCGCGTAACACTCGGGGGACTTGAAGTCCCTCTGAGGCGCCTTAAAACAAGCGAATCAAACTACAATTCCCGTGAGCCTCTACCCTAATCTAATCTATTGGAAGGAGGCGGGACCTTCGAGTCAAGGGGTTTCCAAGGGAATTTACCAGGTGCTGGTGGAGCGATGACGAAGCTTTGCTTTCTTTGCCCATCCCGTCGAATGATGAGGCGGTTTCATGCTAAGGCTGCCTAGGAGACGTGCCACTGCGAGCAGGGCGGGGAAGAACAGCAATGGGCTGGGGAGAAGTTGAGGAGGAGGAGGAGGTGGGAGTACGGCTCACTCGCCTTCTGGTGCAGTCGCTTGCTTGCCTGCTTGCCTGCCTGCCTCCCTCCCTCCTCCTTTACAGGATTCCTGGTTCATAGCCGTTGCTCCTGCTCTTGACAGGTGACTGTCAAATCACGGTCTTTGGGGTGGTTGCTCGGGGGAACCCGCCTCGGGTTGATAATGTTAATAATAGTGGCAGGGATAATTAATCTGCCATGTTATTATCGGCATAAAGGTTGCTTTGCACAGCAATCGTACAAAATTGCTCGAAGTCCTTTTCCCTACTCTGTGGAAAGGCTCTATAATTCTAGATTATTCAGAACTAAACCGTTATACAGGGAGAGAGAAGTAGCCATAGCCGGGGAGCTAATTTAGTGAACCAGAAGTGTGCGTGGGAGTGCGTCAGCAAACCATCGGGGATATGAATTTATTATCATTATTGCTAGGGAAGTGGAGAGATGCTAGTTCCTTGATAGTCAAGGGTGATGTGGACAGTGATGGGGGAAGGGTATTATTTGCTTTGCTATTCTGCATGTGGTTGCAAAAGGGTTACTCCCAAATCACTCTCAGTTTAGTGAATCTTACTCTCAAGCAAATCTATAATGGGGAGGGAGAGGGACCATGCATATACAAAAACACGGTATGGAATGGGGAATTTGACAGATATATTTTCTCTCCTTTTCGTAATATCTGGCATAGACCAACTCTATACAAGAGTAGAGAAAATCCCCCTTCATACCGCATTTAGTTTGTAAAACTGGAAAAAAAATGATTATGGTCACTGGCTCAGACAGCTTTCAGAGAAGATTACTTCTTCTCCATAATGAAGGTTTAAAAAAAAAAAAAATCAGATCAGATACTAGAGAGCTGCAGCTGGGAAGAGCTATTTGCCTTCCTGCTCTGCTTCTGAGCTTCCTGGAGCGCATGAAACCAGTAGCCTCCCTCCTGTGCAAAGCTGAGAGGAGATTCTTCCTGTGGGGTTCTGTTAGATTTCACATAAAGGAAAAAAAAAAAGGATTTTGAGCAAGGATTTGACCAGGATAAGTATGGAGTAATCTTTATCTGTGAGTTTCACGGATGCCTAGGTTTTGCCTTTTATTCGATTTTAGTGGGCAAGCAATTGATTCAGGAATTGACAAAAGATTGAGAAAAAAACAACCCACCTCTTGTTTTACAAATTGAATTTCTGCTCAAAATCTAGGCATTTTTCCCCACCTAGCAGGAGCCTTATCCTCTAGACAGGGATAAATGTTAGAATATAGTCAGCCTAAACAATTTCACATTAAATTCACCCAATATTTATTGATTCCTCTCAAGTTTCAATTACACTATTAGAGTTCAGTCCTCAGACTATGGCAATAATGTGTACCATGCAGAGACTTTTAAAAGTATTTCGCATGCATTAGTTTATCAAATTTATTCCACCAGTGCTGTTTTTCCTGCATAATATATTGATGTAGAGGAAGCTATGAAGGGGCATTGCTCTCCTAAGGCCATTGGATAATTTCATGATTAAAACTATATTTGAATGGAACATTTTGTTTTGCAAATAATTTTATTGGAAACTATGCTACTTGGACCTTTATCCTATTCATAAAATAAAACCCATTAATCCAAATTGATTTATTTAGTATAGGATTATGTTCACTATCAATAAGAAAGAGAAAAGCTTCTGAGCATATGCGGACTATCTTCTCATTATCACTGTATTTTCTTTTTGCAATTAGTCTCACTTTTCTACATGAAAAGATTTCAAGCAGTAAAAGGGAAGGCTGCCAAAGCACTTTAAGCAATAACATTTTGAATTTCAGTATTGAAGAGTTGAGCTTTTCCCTCCTATAACAATTGATTACAATCTAAAGAGGAATCCTATACTATATTTTATCTTATGGGGTTTGCCCATGGGAGCCCACATATCTGAGTTTATGAAGTGTTGTAGTCTACTTTGCAATTATCAGAACATAAAATATATAATTGAACTATATGGCAGTTCTCTGAAATGTATATTCAGCCTGTAAACCAGTCTAACAGCATTTATACACGTTTACTGAAAATGAAGTCTTGTTGAACTCACTAGAACTTACCCCAACTTTTATAGGTTGCAACCAGAGTCAAAAAGTATCCTAATTTTCATCCTTTGTATAAGGACGCATCCTACATGTGTTTGACTTATGGCACTGATATAGTTGCATTAAGATATACAAAACAACCAAAAGGTTATTAAAAGACTGAGATCTGTGAGAAACTCATAACTTTCATTCTGGGACTGATGTCTATTCACAGACATACTTCATCCACTACTGCAAAATGAGAGTCTTGGCATTGAGGCAACCTGTTTTTGATATGTTGCCAGAGTATAGCAACACTACAATTCCTCAGAAACTCCCAAAGGGATTGTTCGTTTCACTGTAAAATTCAATCAAATTACCTTTGACTTGCCTCTAAAAGCAGGAAGTTATTAAGCTCTTACACACACACACACACACACACACACACACTAAAAAAAGTATTTAAGACAGGGTTCTCTTCCAACTGCTTATTACTCTAGTATGTCTGCCAGTGTTAGGTAAATAAGTGATCCTGTGTTTCTCAGATTTTGGGACTCAAGTTTCTTCTCTATGGGAGTTTAATTGGTTGCTTCTTTGCTTGTACAACTTATAGCTAACCTCTCTGTTAAAAATGTTTGATATTCATTACATATTCATTACAGACCATTACTTAAACATTATAAGTGAACAAAGTCTTTTCTTATTTTGAAAGAAAATTAGGATTCACCTCCACACACTGAGCTCTCCTTTTTTTTAGTATTATCTTTTACCTTTGCACTGGAATAGAGAACCAGAAATGCAGAGGGCAGCAGTGATGCAGTTGGTGAAAAATTGTAATAAGCAGCGCATCTTACAGAGATGCCCATGTAGAATTGTGTATGCTGTTCTGATCCGCCCAATATCCCTCTCTTTTTGTTCTTTGATACAAATGAGTTATAATTTTATTGGTAGAGTGGATGTAGGGAAACCACAGTATGAGGACAGAGAAAAATTGCCTCCTGTTGTGAAGAGAATGGGAAAAGCAACTAATATACTGCTTTGATTTATAATGCATAGCCTTGCAAAGGTTAATATATCACCTTTATTTGAAAAGTAATCATTTCATTGCTTTTAAATCATTCTTTAATAGTTCCTTTTATTATATATATATATATATGTTCTGTCTTTATTTTGTACAATACAAGGCACTGGTTCTGCCTCCTATTTTCTCCAAAACAACAACCCTGTAAGGTGCATTGGTGTGAGAAAAACTCAGTGGCTCAAAGTCTCCAGTCAGCTTTCATGCCTATGATTATGTGCCATTGAGATATTTTCAATTCCTAGTGACCAATAGGTAAATCTTCTCCAATTTCATGCCTAAGGGAAGACTAAAACTCACAGTTCCCAGTTTCTAATCCAGCATTTCAACCACTATACCAAATTAGCTCAAAGTGTTACCTTTCAGGCTACAATATTTTTAAATAGTAAACTATAACATAAAAGTATGCAGATATCGTATATATATATATAAACATCTTTCTTTTTCCTTACAGAAATATTTTGTCTTTACATTGAGTTGCAAATCTGTAGAAGACTACTTTCTTCATTATCCAGTCACAGAACGTGCTGAGTGATTTTTTTTAAAAGCTATTTTTCATGTCAGCTGCACTTTTTCCACAGTTAAGAACTATAACCATGTTGGAAAGGCAGTGACTTACTCTTTTCAAGACTTAAAAGGCATAATGATATCCACAGCACCAGCGTTCTTCACTTGATGCAGAGAGGCTCATGCCTTCTGTTGTATTTGACTTGGAATTTGCCTCAATGCGTGTGCTCCCCCTTCCAAGTTATCTGGCTTGCAAAACTGAGAAAGCAGCAACGGCTGCTCATCTTTGGCAGTAGAAGATTATGGTGGTGGCTCAGCACTAGGAATCCAGCAGCAGCAGAGTAAGACTCTGGATGCATTTTCACTAAAAATCCTCAGCATCAGAAAGGGCAGCTGAATGATTTGGCAGCTGAGCAAAAATTTAGATCATTTATAACAAGGAAACAGGAAAAGCAAGAACGTGGGGCTGGGGGCAATAGCTCCAGTTTTTTCTGTGCTTCCAGGGAGGGGGGTTGATTATCATGGCAGATCGGACAGCTCCTAGATGCCAGCTCCATCTGGAGTGGGTATATGGGTATAGGGGTCATCAGTGCCGCAACAATCTGTACTATACAGCAGGCAAAGAAGTGGTTTACTTTGTGGCTGGAGTCGGCGTGGTTTATAACACCAGAGAGCATACACAGAAATTTTTCCTGGGGCACAATGATGACATTATCAGGTAAGAAATGGGTGCAATGAGGAGGGAATGTTTGATTAAACAGCTCTTCCCAACTTCACATGGCTTAGCATATCTCTTGCATTTTAAAAAAATGATTATGTCAAAATATGTATACAGGAATGCTGAATGCAAATGGGTCCTACTTAGTTTTTTTTTATTTTTGTGTGTTTATTACCCAAGATTTTGAAAGAAATTGTATCCTAAAACTCAGATCTGGAGTTCATTTTTTGAAAAACTAAGGCAGTTTGTAAATGAGCTTAGATAGCTCATTATTGTCTTCATTATCGTCCCAATTGTAATGGCTAAAACCTAAATAGATGGTATATGTATGGAAGATGAAGGTTACATATAATATCTAGTAGCTGTAACATCTGGTGTTCCAATCAAAGCAGTTTTTACTCTGATCCTGTAATTTCAGTATGGGTATAGTGTTTATGTTTCCGTATTGATTATGTTTACTACAAAGTACCACTTGTTTTCAGCTATGTACTATATGTTCATGATTCTGATATCAGTTGCATTTTGAGGGAAAAGGAACTTAGAATGTGATGCTATACATATTGACTGAGAAATAAGTCCTATTGAGTTCAGTGGAATTTACTTCCAAGAAAGCAACTACAGTATTATAGCTACAATATCAGACAGCAGGAGCATAACAGACCTGTTTATTTATTTATTTAAAGAAAAAATATATGTAAAAGTGAACTTTCCAGATTATCTGCTTTCTGTCTGAAACAACAATCTTTATTTATTTTGAAATAGAAATTATTCTGAAACTGGCTGCTGTGTTTTATAAAAGTAATATTAAAAATCAGGATCATCCTTTCTCAATTTGCTAGTTAATGATGTTTAAATATTATATGGTAGCTGTTTGTCCTATCCAATAAACCGTTTCTTTGTGTCTTGCCAACAAAATACTATTATAATTTGGATCTGTCCTTTGGATCATCCTGTATGCTACAGGCCTCTCTGCAAATCTATCATATAGTATTTAATTTATATAAACATGTGTATGATACTTTTTGTATATTTGTTCTAACTGTGGGGTAATATTTTTGTTGCTGTTCAAAAACAGTTTGTCCTATCTTTATATATCATGTTTATTATTTGTAATTCAATCCTCAGGATGTTTACTTAGATGTAGGTTCTGCTAAAATCGTTGAGATATATTTTCTGTTAAGGCAGATCAGGTTTGATTTTTGTTTTCAGCCAAAAAATGGGATCTAATGTTTAATTGCAATTAATCTAAATTAGTTTATTCTTAACTAGTTATTTGTGCCTTACCAAAAGGGAATGGGTAGTGCACAAACCTGAAGTTACTGCTACTGCATCTGTTATAATACATCATGGCTTTTCATGTTGGCTAAATAAAAACACTGGTACATTTTAACTCCTCTTTCTGTCACTGTGCATAATTGTACTTATGTTTAATGATCAGATGATTGCATTTTGGGCACTTGGTAACCAGCAAGCATTTACAGCCATTTGCAACATGCTTTGACCATGATTTATGACAATTTTGCTGGATTTACTACATTTTACTTACAGTTTCCAGTAAAAACCACTCTTTATGAACAATGGGTTCACTTAATGACAGCTGTATTTGCTTAACTACCATCACACCTTTGGCAGCAATTACAGCCTCAAGTCTTTTTGGATATGATGCAACAAGCTTTGCATACCTGGATTGGGGGATTTTCTGCCATTCTTCCTTGCAAATCCTCAAGCTCAGTCAGGTTGGATGGCAACTGTCAATGCACAGTCATTTTCAGATCCCCCCAGAGATGTATAATAGGATTCAAGTCAGGTCTTTGGTTGGGCCACTCTAAGACATTCACAGAGTTGTCCCTAAGCCACTTCTGTGTTGTCTTGAGTGTGTGCTTAGGATCGTTGTCATGTTGGAAAGTGAACCTTTGGCCCAATCTGAGGTCCTTAGCACTGGAATGGAATGGAACATCAGAGCTCCCTAGCATTGGAACACAGAATGGAGACCAGACAGCAGGCTTTCCTAGAGTGCAAATGGAATGGTATGAAAGGGAAATGTGTGCAGATACAATAAGTGCTATTGTATGTATAGCATTTATACATACAATATGTATTGTATGTATAAATGCTACAATATGTAGCAGGATAGAATCTTTACAGTGTGAAAGAATGCTGGGATACCATAGTAAAGTCATCCTCAACTAGTTATCAAAGACATTCTAGAGTAAGGCACACACTGTGGTCTGCAACATTTTCTTTATCTTTCTTGTGCAATACAAGAAACCAAATATATATAAGCTGTAACCTTGCTTTGTTCAGGGCTCTTCTGCAATTCTTTGACAAGAAGCCAAATGATCCTTATCTACAGACACTTTATCTTCTCATTTTGAGAATGAGAAGTTACTACATTTTAACCCTACTGCAATCTAACAGATAGCTTGCCAATAGGTAATATAAAAAGCAAAATTACAAAAATACTGAAAAGAATTTAAAACATAACATACAAAACTATGATGGGGTGTCATATAATATGCTTTTTATAATATTTGAATTGGACACTGCCCTATTTTACATTGATTTATTCATTTTACATGTATACATACTGTATACATCTACAGGAATGGTAAGCATTTAGGTTTCATAGCTTCAGAAACAATTTAAGTTGTTATACTGATTATCTCAGTAGGTAAGAACCATATTGTATGATATCTGCAGTTCGTTCTTTTTCTTTTTGTGAGGGGAGAAGTTAATGCTTAAAGCAATGTCATAGTTTCATGTGTTCATAGATGTAATTTGGAAATAGACTAGAGAAAAGAATATCTTGTTTTTACATCCATTCTTAATCCATGCACATCAGCTTCCACTTGGAACCAATTTTGATAGCTATTTCAGTAACAAAGAGAAACTATAATTACTCCTTGAGTTAAGTATGCTGCTCTGTATTGACAAATCATTTGTTGTATTATGTTTTAAATTTGGGAGAGAAGAGTAGAAGAGACAACAAATAAACAACCAGTGGACAAATTTGGCCATCAGTATCCCTGGAAATGTTGATAATATCCACTTATTGAGGAGTTTGCTAGTAATTATGACTATACGCCATCCTTCTTGAAAAGTAAAGATTAAGATTTACTCTTATCAGGTAGAATACTATTTCTGACTCCTGGGAGGACTTGTTGGAAAGGGGAATAAACTTTTATAAAAAAATTAATACCAAGCAGAAACAACCCACTCATAAAAGAGCAAAGCATCTCCTGTAGAAATAGCAATAATGAGCTAAATAAACATGGGTATGACATACCTAAATAGATTGAAGGTTGCTGGGTAAAATAAGGAACAACATGGATTACAAAAGCTTTTCTTCTTTATTTCCTCTTTTACCACTTTGGTGTCAAGGGAACCGTATCATGTGTCGAGAATATAAAAGATCAGACATTTAAATGAGCCCATTGTTCCATATGCGATTTACTCTAGCTGGTTTTCATCAGGTTTCTCTACCTGCAGTCCTCTAGATGTGGTGGACTAAATTTCTCATCAATCTAATGATAAGACAAGTAGACCCAACATATCATAATTAAACATTGATAAACATTGCATGTTATCATCGAACTTTGGCGTTTTCCAGACAAAATCCCTGGGAGAATGATTGACAGAGACTGTATTAGGACTAGAAACTACAGTAATTCCCATGAAGAAAGATGAATTTAGGTATTTATATGCCATCAAGTGGTTTTCCAGTACTGGTCTGCAGTGGGCGAGCACATGAGAGTAGGTTATGCACATGAAACAATCCTCCCTCTCTGCTCTGCCACTGCTGCTGCTAATCCATAGAGCCAAAAGATTTGGGGACCACTGGTCTAAAGCAGCGGTCACCAACTGATGGGCCATGAGAAAATTTTGGTGGGCCACAGAGAAATCTCACCCCCAGAGCACCCCCACAAAGCAATTAATCCAGGCTGCGCAGAAACACAAGGCTGCGCCGCCCACATGGCCCATGGGAATCCTCCCCACCCACTCCTTACCCGGTAAACTTGCCTGCTAAATTGCTATTTTTCCTTTTTCTGACCATCATCTGTTCTGCTCTGCCGGGAGATTTAGATTAGCTAGGAAGCAGGAAATGGTTGCATTTCTTGCTTTCTAGCTAGTCTTTAGATCTTCAGCTTAGCACAGCCAAACCTCCCTTAGGACTGAAGGTTTGCTTGCAAGCAAATTAAGTGCAGACTCACAGCAAGCAAAATTGAGAGACTGAACTAGCCGATGGCAGATAGATAGATCACTGAATGATTCTGTGAGCAACTCAATCTGCCTGCTTTGCCTGATTTTGGATAAAAGTTGCTCTTTTTTATAAAAAAAATCAATATTTATATAAATATTTATAATATTTACATACAAGCCATGCCCAGCCAGTCACATGACCACCAAGCCACACCCACAAATTAGGCCATGCCCACAGAACCGGTTAGTGGTCCCTGGGATCTAAAATTATGAGTTTGGTGGTCCCTGAGGACCAAAAGGTTGGCAACCCCTGGGCCAAAGGAATCATGCTCTGTAGAAATGATTGGATTGATACCTGGATTGGAAAATTTTGGTGGTTCTCTCTTCCAATTCTAGAATTCTGTAATAAGTATGCTATTCTTTTGGGTTCTTGGTACTCCCTGACCTACTTGATATCATCAGTATCATGGGGGTGGGGGGGAGAGTGGAATTTGCTAGCTATGTCAGCATTCCAACCAAACTGTCCATCTCAAATCAGCACTCAGAGACAAAGTCCATCCAAGTAAGAATTTATTAGGGAAGTCATATTGGCACATCTGGGAAAACCCAAATCTGAAATCCTGTGTTTTCCCCTGCTAAATTAAACTCACATCCAACCCCCTTACTGATGATCCACAAGTCACACTCTTCAATCCACCTCCATTCTGAACTCCCGCCAAATCCGGTCACTCCCCTCCAAACTCCAGTGACTCGGCCTTGAGCTCTGGCGAAAGAATGTCGTTGTGGCTATCCTCCCTTCT